CAGTTCAGGTTTCCAACAATAATGATAAACCCAAAAAGCTTCCAGAAATATGAAAATGAGGGCAAATTATAAATAAAGTAGATAGATTTAGAGAGGCATCAGACTTCTCAATATTAACACGGTATGAAAAAGCAAACAGATTAATATTTACAAATATCTGGAAGAAATTGACTTAGGGTCTAGCATTTTGATACTCACCAATTTAGGATTAAGCTTTTTGGATATGAAAATTTAGTATCCAGAGATAGTTCTTGCCAGATTTGCTTAGCAATCAGCTAAGATGTAAAATTTTGTAATATATGGGTATGCAAATTAATATTTTTACTATCCTCTGCAGTCATTCTGTAATGCTAGCCCCCATGATCCTCCTGTGAGAAAGAACAGTATAGTTGATCCTTGAACAACACAAGTTTGAATTGCTCGGGTTCACTTATACATGGATTTTTTTCAATTGACCTGCAGAGTTCAAACCTGTGCTTGAAGTGTCACTTTAGCAGATAGGAATCGGTTTATGAGGAGAACTGACTATAGTTACACTGGGATTTTTGACAGCAGGCGAGGTGGGTATCCCTAACCCCCACACTGTTCAAGGGTCAACTGTACTTACTTTCTCATGCTATAAACTAGTGAGCAGTTCAGGGATGTGGCTGGAATAAAACTTAAATTCTCTTCCATTTCAATGAGAAGTTTCTTCAGGTGTTTGGCACCATATTTGCCCCTTGATTAACCTTTAAAAGGGGATAAGACCTTCAAGAAATTGAAATAAAAGTGGTGGTGATAAAAGAGGAAACCCACACTAACCATGAAAGTCCACAGCTAGGAGCTGGAGTGTCAGTGTGGCTTAAGATCTAACGTAAGGCCACTATTATGTGCTACCTTGACATCTGGTAAAATCAAGAAGGCCACGAGTGGCCTAACTGCAAGTTGTCCTCCCATTCGGCTCTCCCAGATAAGATACCCCAGCCAGACAATGCTCCTTATCCAGGAAACCAGACACAGTTCCTGATTATCTCTGAGTGGGGGGTTTCCATTCTTTGCCAGCCTTTGAAATTATTCAAACAAGCCAATCATATCCTTCCCAGGGG